CACCTCCGAACCATCGCGGAGCTGAGGCGCGATGACGAACGCCCCGTGGGTTTTGTTCATGATTGTTACGGGGATGTTATACCCCTCCGGAATGGCCAGTTGGGATGTAGGCACCGCGGCGGTGACGGCCATGGCGTTCATGAATTTGGGTTCGAGGTCCGGGTACAGGTACTTGCGGACTTTGGAGTGGATGCCGTCGGCGCCGACGAGACAGGTCGCGGTGGAGGTGGTGCCGTCTTCGAATTCCCAGGTGATGTTTGATTCGGTCTCTGTGATGACTCGGCTGAATTTCTTGTGGTAGTGGATGGGGATCCCGGCTTCGGAGACCATCGCGGAGAGTTCCCGGATCAGCACGTGTCGGTAGATGCGCATCCCGCTGTAGCCGTATTTGGCGGCGTTGCCGAACTCGTATGTGTCTAGGGGAGTGTCGGCTGGGGAGCGGAAGTAGAGGTTGTCGAAGGAGTAGGATTCCGGGCGGATCCGGTTGTAGACGCCCAGGGTGTCGAGGATGCGGAGGGCGTTGGGGGAGAGCATGATGGCTCCGCCGATGTTGAGCGGGGCGGAGCGGGCCTCGTAGATGGTGCAGGGGATGCGTTGTTGGTGCAGGGAGAGGGCGAGGGCTAGGCCGGAGAGGCCGGCGCCGATGATGGCGACGTGGGTGGACATGGTGGAGATGGTGTAGATGAAAATGCTGTAGATAGGTAGATGTGCAGATAATGGTAATGTGTAAATGTGTAGATAATGTAGAATGTGCTTGCTATGCTGAGATGATGCTGTGTCTGATGAACTCAAACTACAGCGGGACTTCGTTCTTTATATACCACACTCCTCGCCTTCATTCACAGGCATCCAGTTTCAAGTTTCCGCCCCTTAACCCCGTGGCCCGAACTCATCTCGGAATTATCCAGCTGCCCGATGCCAGCACATAATGGAGTATAGGGGGAAGTGTTACACAAACAAGTGACAGTGTTGGCTGATTGATAGTAGTAGCTTAGTGACTGGAATGATCGACGTCGGGCGGAAGCTGACCTTAGCTGAGATGAGCTGGTGGTCCGGATCCGAACCCGGATCCGATGGAGTCGGGGTTTTGGGGGTGGGTTACCCCTTTGGAATTGTCCGAGACGGCCGGGTATTGCCTGATGTGTACAGGTGATGGTTAACTTGTTGAATATAGACAGGGTAGTGTCATGTTGATGCAGGGTGATTGTGAAGAGGGATTATGGTGGGCTTGCACTACGCACAGCACAGTAATGTATGCACCAATTTGCACCGGGGTATCCATTCACACATAAGTACACTGACTATCAAGCAATACACAATTAACTAATACACTGGGAAACTCATCAGACTAAATACAGTGAAAAGGCGCTATGTACATCCCACCCGATATCTATGAAGCACCAAACACCATCCCACTTTTCGCTCATAACCGAATCAGCGATTAACTGATTGTAACCAATACTAAACTGACTGTGACTGCACAATGCATATCGCTGCGTCATTCGTCATAGGCCTCATTATCGACAAATTGCTGATAATGCAGGCACTGATTTACATGTTCCAGGCAAACGATCCATCTTCAAAGGCAAATGGATCACCGCGGAAGTTGTTGAATTCTGTCGCCAAGGCAGATGACTCCGCTAGGAAGTCAGGCAGCTGTGGCTGCGTGGAGGGCGTGTAGCCGGGGTCTGTTGTTGTAGGGAAGATAGGCTGTGTAGTTTGTAGCTAGACTTGATTAGCATAATCCATAACAAAATCAGTCAAAGGGAGTATACCATCTGTGCAAAATCCGTCAGGTTAAACGCAAACGATTGCTGCGCTACAGACGGCAACAGATGCTGTCGACACGCCGACAGCGCCTTCACAGCCCCCTGCTGCATCCACCGCTCCTTGAGCTCGGCGGACCCCCGCGCCCGCACCGATTGCAGCACCACCGCCAGCAGCATGACATCTTTGATGTTGCTGCCGGTTTCGCCGATCGTGCGGGTCAGTCCGTCGAGCGTATTTTCGACAATGCGCGTAAGACTGGCCTTGGTGTGTGTAGTCGTTGGCTGACTGGGCGAGTAGGCGGGAGCGGGCGCCATCGGCGTCGGGGCCCCGGAATGCTGCTGGTTGGACAGTTTCATATACCCGCACACACTCAGTGCAGCCCATGGAATATCGTTCTTGCAGAAGAGCTGGAACACGTCCCAGTAGGCGGTCGATTTGAAGACGTCCAGATCCGCCACGTTAGGGTCAAAGTAATCCTGGTAAGACAACACCACCAGCGAAGACTCCAGACACGCTTGCTCGATCTCCAGGAAGAGTTGGTCCTCGCGACTCTCGCCCATGACGATCGGCCGGTAGAGGCACAGCAAGGGTCGACGCATGTATACATCCAGTAGCACCCGGTTCAACAAGAGGGCTGGTCCAGGGGTCTCCCCATGAATCGGTGACGGATCCAGCTTGAGCGGAGGGGGGATCTGTCGCAGACATTCTTCCAGACGTCGGCCTTGCTTGACGATGTCGCGCAGATCTAAGCCCGGGCTCGAAGTACGCACCAGCGACATGGCTCGGATGCGGTGAGGTAATGAGGAGGCCAAGGTGACTTGCGCGAGAGTATCGGTCCACTCATGCAGTGGTTTCGCCGGCGGCAGTTCCGTGGTGGATTCGTCGAAATCGGTGTCGTTCAAGTTGGACGGGATAAGCGGATCAAAGTCCAGATCCGGGATGGTCACGGGCATACCGGAGGCGATGGAGGTCTGCAGGTCCATCTCCACAATGGTAATCCACAAGCGGCGCCGGACTTCGATCTGAAACGGTGAGAGCTGCTTATTCCCGGACAGATCCAAATGCAGGCCCACCACCATGGCTGATCGCACGAGCGTGCCGGTGGCGCGCCACAGCTCCTCCTGCGAGGCAAGTCGCAGTCGTCGTGCCAACAACACGAGCGCCTCAATCTGCAACGAGACCAGCTCGGTGCGCTGCTTGCGACCAAGTTTCTGCAACCACACGCGCACGAGGTTAACGGCAGGCGTCTGCAAGTACTCCCAGACGGAGGAATACTCGAGTCGGAAGCTAGGGTCTTCCAGAGGCAGCGCGGCTGCCAGAACGGCCGTCAGTTGCGGCAAGAAAGTGGCGGAGCGTTCAGTGTCCGGCCCCGGAGGGGTCCAGAAGTCGGAATACTGGCGGAGGAAAGACGGGACATGCAACATGCGTAGAGTACGTTCAAAGTTGGTGGTGTACAGGTTCACGAGTCGGTCACAGACCGCTTTGGATGGCAGGGAGCTCTGCATCTGCAGCAGCTCGGGCGAGTAGTCAAGGTCGGGCATGGATTCTGGTGAGCTCATGGGCAGCTTAGATTTACTCTGTAGAAACTGGACTTCCTTGGCCAGCCCCAAGATGGCAGAGTCCTTGGTGCAGCGTTCAATGAACTCTCTCGCTTCGGAGAACTACAAGCTGTTAAATGCGAATCTCACTGACAAATCTAGGAGCAGATTACCTGATGCAACAAGGTGGTCCGGTTGTTCTGGCCATGGTAACGTGATCGCGTGCCCTTTCCTTTGACGACTAGAGTACCAGGATACGGGGGAGCATGGGTCGACGGGGTGGTCTGGCGCACAGACGGACTGGCATCGCGGGCCACCGCATCCTTGAGGGAGCCGGCATACGAGCGTGTCAGCGGCTTCAAGGAGAGCACCTCTTCCACACGCTGCAATCGTTGCTGGAGATCCTCCAACAATCCGATAGCAGCGGGCGGCGGAGGCAGCCTGGCACCAGCCGGATCGCCCCGAGGATCGGAGGGAAACGGGAAGTCAGGTGGCAGATGCATGCGCTTCGCACTGGGCTGGTCCGGCAGACCATCGACGCCATCAGGACTGGGGTGAAAGACACAGTCGGGGGCACAACCGGCTTTGGAGCAGTTCTCGCAGGGCATGACCCGGTCGCACTTGAGCTTCTTCTTGCGACAGCGCAAGCACGAGACCACGGGCCGGGGACGTTTGCGGGTCAGGGAAGCGTCCCCGGCCAGCTCGGTGGGCGGGGAGATCTGGCCAGACACGGGACTCATTGCTGGCAAAAGAGAATTTCAAAGAGTGCTCGCGTCGGAGATGAGAAACAAAGTCGCACAAGGGGAGCCAGTCTAAGGAAAGAATGGGGGTTAAGGGTTGGCGTGTGAGGGGGAGACAATAATAAAGACCAGCAGGTTTCAAGAGTGCGACTGGACCACCGTCTCATCGAGACTTCAGGCTAAGCTGACAGGCGCGCAAGGCGGATGCAGTGCAGCAGTAGTAGCAGTAGCAAGCAGTAGCAGCAGGGGCCGTCGTAGGAGTGGATGCAGGAAAGTAAGACGAGGAGATTATTGGCGATGGGAGGAATCCACAAGTCACAGCCAAGTCTGACATCCACCCCAAGACTGCTTGTGTTTGCCTTCCTCTGCCCAGCTCTTAGTCTACTTTCTGGTTCAACTGGTGGAGCAGAACCATAACAACAAGGGCAACGAGACTCTCTCCACTTTTTGCCCCCTGGAGGGTCATTCCTCAGGATGCCACAGAGACCAGTAGTGCAGATTACCTTTGTTTGTCCGTTCACCGCTTTCCCCTTCGAGTAACTTACCAGGCTGCAGCGGATCTGCTTACTTCAGCCTCGTATTGACTCGCGTGTATCTCGTATTGCTGCCTGACCAGGCCAAGCCAAGCTGGAGACCCTGAAAATCATCGCTGAGGAAAAGAAAAGTTTATCGCATTTCTGCTGAATAAATGGAAAAAGCCACAATTAATACGAGGCCAAGAGATCTGATAACATACATAAAATTTCACGCCATGCCAGGTGTAAATGCCCAGAGATGATGAAACAAGCCGTAAGGGGAAAAAAAGAAATAAAATAAGAAACAATCATTGCCCTGTCGATCCAACCCTGGATCGTCTCCAAATTCTCCGCTCCCACCCGCTCCGCCCCGGATCGGCCCTCGCGAGATGATGGGAGATTGCCATGTCGATATCTAGAACAGATCGAGAAAAATTCTAGTTGGTGATCACTGGTGCCGTGTTATCCCATTTGTTGGTCTCAGCAGCATCCACCAACCAGCGGGCCACCGTGATCCGACTGGTGCTGGCCATCATGGGCACTCCCTTGCCATGATCCGGCCACACTTTGACCGGCTGGTTGGCATCGGGCGTCTCCACCAGCCGCGACGGTCGCACCATCACATAGTCCAGTCCACTGGCCTGCACTGCCTTGGCCGTCGCGTTGTGATCGTCATACTGATACGACATGTTGGACTTCTTCATCAGCAGCCGCAGCACGCAGTGCATGTTGTCCCACGATTCCCCAACGCCAAACGCCTGCAGGATGACCGTTTTGCGTACTCCAAACTCCTTCATCGCTGCCAGCACATTGTTGTTGCAGTCCGTCATCAGTCGAGGAGGTGAGATTGGCGCCGCAAAGGGGCTGTCGCTGGCCCGTGGGGCGTTGAGTGTCACAATTACCACATCTGGTATGTCGGCTTGGAACGCGGCACGGACATCCTCCAGTTCGGTGGGGGTTCCTGGTGAGGTTTTAGTTCGTTGGAGTCGATTCCTTCAGATGTCGAGAGACTATGACTATGACTAACCTTGGACGACTTTTAGCCCGGCACGAGCTCCACCCAGTGATTCGGGCTTGCGGGCCAACGTGGTAACTTGGTGGCCTAGATTATTGTTAGCCTTTTAGCCGATACAACCAATGAATTGCAAGCTGAGCTGAAGCGAGAGACACTTACCGCGACTCAGCAGGTCGTCGATGACGAGCTTTCCACACCGTCCACTTCCGCCAATCACAAGAACGCGCATGATGTTATGTTGTGATTATTGAAGGGTTGCCTTGAGTAGTGTAGAGATGACAGGATCAGGAGGAATATGTCTGGTGTATTCTCGTTTCGTCTTAAGTAGTGTAAATGATTGCAGTTGTAGCTGATGGAGAGGAGTTCATTACTGCTGGCGTCAGAGGCCCTATATACCCTGCCGGCCACGAGGCTCTGTCCGGACCAGTACTCGGATCCGACCGGACAGATATCGACTCGTCCGGACGGAGGAGATGGTAAGCATGCAGATCATTTCGATCCACCGCTTGTAGCGGGGCCGATCTGAGTGATAGGGAAGCCGTTGCAGGATGAATCCTTGACCAGGGCTCGGAGCGGGCTTTTTCTTGCTGATTTGGGGGTTATCTCCGGGTCAGGGGTTCCCCCGAGGGGTTGAACCGGGTTCAACCATGGGTGTTGTCACATGGTACAGGGATGGGTTCTTTGTTGAGATTCATTACAGGAAGCAGGGATGTTTCGGTCAGGTTCTAATTATATTCATTGCAGTGATGTAAGTGGTAGGAACGAGTGTAAATGGTGACGCGATGCCGCTGGAGTGTGAAGATATATATTCGGCTCGTTAGTGCCATAGTGCATACTACCCGAGTTAAGAAAGTGCCACATAACGCATCTGATGAATTGACGAAGTAACTTGGATGTTCATAAATACTACCGAATAGATTCTCGTAGACACGTCTAGCACACCGTTTAAATCCCCCACCTCATTCATCATAGATTATCTCTGTTCGGAGTAGACTAAGATAGTCCAGATCTCCGACTCCACTCGGCACCTTCCGGATCGACACCCATCCCTTACTTCCATTCCATATAACTCCACCCACGATCTACTGATGAGATTCACTCAGGGGTATTACAAATTGAACAAAGCAAGGGGGCCATGTGAAGCGCCCCTCATATCCACGGTTACCTCCCGTTCCCGTCGAAGCTACCAAGAACCGACACAAGCAACGTCAAACATCTAGACGAGTTCATAATCGCTAAATCATGTAAACACATACAAATCTATCATCTTTTCATCCACCCACATATTCAATACTATCTATCTAAGCCCTCTTCTCACAAACCACCTTCATATCCGGATGATTGATCCAAATCTCCTTATTCCTTCCCCACTCCTCCATCGCCTCCGGCTTGACCATCCGCAGGTCATATCCCTCCACCAAATGCACCAGGATCGCCCGGATCACCACACTCGCCACAAACTTGCCCATGCACTGCCGCGGCCCGAACCCGAAGCGCCAGAAGTGGTACCTTGCTTGGGTTAGGCTCCTCGCCAGGAACCGATCCGGTTGGTACAAGTGGCGCTCCTCGCCCCAGTACGGGTTCCGGATGTTGAGCGCGTACGAATCCACCACGAAGTTTGTGCCAGCGGGGAAGTGGTATCCGCCGACTGTTCTGGCTGTGGGGATGGCTTGTGGGACAGAGAAAGCGGCGAGGGGACGGAGACGCGCGGATTCTTCCACGCAGGCCGCTAGCAGAGTGCTGTTGTCCAGGAGGTAGGCGTCGACTTCGCCGTCTACGGAGATGGCGCGCTGCTGCTCGACTTCCTTGCGGAAGCGCTCGGCGATGTCGCGGTATGCGGCAAGGAAGACCACGTTCCAGCTAACGCCACCGATCGTCACGTCCAGGTTGGCGTAGAGCATCTCGTCCAGCGTGTGTAGGAGTTCCTGGGTGCTAATTTGACCGGCATCCCGGGCGGCGAAGAAGTCGATGATGGGGGCGTTGAGTTTCTGCTCGACGGCACGACGGTGTGCCAACTCGTTGAAGGCTAGCCAGCGTTGCTGAAATGCGGCCAGTTCACGGTTGGCTTGCGTGGGCAGGAAACGCGACCAGCTGAAACGAGTCAATCCGCCCTTGATGACATGCTTCATCAGGTTCTCGCGTTGCGGGGCAAGACGACGCAACTCGGCTTCGACATCTGGGGCGAGGCGACCGTAGACGACTTCGGCGACTACCAGGAAAGGGAGCAACTTGAGGTCATCTGCTGGGTCAAGCAGACCACGAGACAGGTCGCGGGTGTCCCAAAGTTCTTGGAAGAATTGCTCCGTGCGGCGCTTGACGAGCGGGATGTACGTCGTCGAGGCGTTGCGGTGGAAGGGCTTCTCCATGATGGCGCGCACGCGCTGCCATTGATCCTGACTGACCAGTCCGACACATTGACCCAACAGCTCACCGAGCAGGTATCCTGAGTTGTTGTTCTTGGCCTTAAGGTGGGTGTGCGAATCCTTGAAGACGGCTTGGATGTGTTCGGGACGGGTGAGAACGCTATAATTGTTAGGTGTTGTCGTTAAAAAGCAGGAGGTAGACGTACACTTCTGGGTTCATGCCAGACCAGAGACGGTAGATGGCTCCAAATTGGCGCTCCCAGCGCTCTGAGTTGCTCTGACCTTGCAAGAACTTGGCCCCGTCGCCTTGTCCATCAGGCCACTGGTACGGCAGGGTAGGCAGCGGACTGTTATCGTCTACATGATGTACGGGAAAGCGACGTGCAAGATGGACCTGGATTGTAAGCTGAAGCCATGGTAATTATCAAGGAAATGCTTACTCGAAGAATAGCAGAGATCAATCGGTTTATCGTATTTGTTATGGGCGTGCGGAATTTGATAGCCACCAGGATGGCCACGATGAGGACCGCCTGGCCCGCGAGGAGGATGGTCGTATTCATGGTGATGACAGTTTTTTGCAGTTGATTGTTGGTTGATTCTGAGTTCATCATGGCCATCTATATACTTCAATAATGATGCGCGACCGATGCGGATAGCCTCATGGGGGCCACGGAGCAGGAAATCGGATCCGAGACCGGATATGCTCACCCGCAGGCTGAAACATGGCAATACGAGATGCAGTCAGAGTGGATCTGTCAGATCCTGCACGATCCGTCTGAAGATGGATCCTCTTCTCGCGTGGCTCTGCACAGACGCCCCGTAGGAGCGGCCGGAATTAGCGATCGAGCCATTCAGAGCCAAGCGGGAGCCGTGAGATGGCGCAATCTCATGTGTTGAGCTGAGATATTACCAAGCATGGAGAATCAATGCAAGTGGTACAGGAATGCAGATTGAGCAGCCTTGAAGATGTTGGTGTTGTGATACTGGTCCATGATGATTATCGCAGGAATTAGATACGCGAATATTGAAGGCAAATTCATAATTTTCATAGATTATCAAGAGCTAACGACGCCAACGCCATGTACAAAGCCAGAAAAGTCATGATAATAAACCGTAATAAGATATACGCCGTTATGCATTAGATGAATCACCGTTTTTCTCCTCCTTCAATCCATACTTCGTGTCCAATTTCGTCCGCAACGTAATTTCACTGTAGCCATTAGCATCCATACAATGTACTTAGCAACAAGATCAACTTACCGTTCCAAGAACACCAGCATAAAACCGACACCAGCGATAACAGTCGCGAAGATCCACACGATCTTCAAGCTGTCTGCATACAACCCTATCACCTGCTTTCGCACATCCCCAGTAAGCGAATTGACATAGTCCTTGGTACCATGCTCGTAGGCAGCTCCTCCGCCGAGCGTCTTCTGGACACTGTCACTGCTGATTCCCGAGAGATCGTGCTCCACCTGGGCGTTGAAGATTGCCGACGGTACTGAGACACCCCAGACAACACCAAACTGGCGTACAAACGCCCACGCAGCTGTAGCAGCTGCGGTGTCTTGGTCTGAGAACTCAGCCTGCACAGCTGGTAGCAGTGTGCTCAGAGAGGAGCCTGATCCGAGGGCCACGACAATCTGCACCATGATCCAGGCAACATCTGGTGAATTTTCATCAAGCGTGATAAAACAGCCAAAGCCTAGTGTGAAGAGCGCGAACCCGATAAAGTGGAAGGGCTTGTAGCGACCGAATTTGGATAGCAGGGCACCGCTGACTACCGAGGCTGGTACCAATACCAGTACTGTTGGGAGCATCATCACACCTGACCGGATGGGAGAGGCCAGAAGCACGGCTTGAAAGTAGACTGGAAGGAAGTAGATGACGAGCAGGGTGAGCATGGACTGGATAAAGGTGATGGTGAATGCGGTAGCCGATGTGCGGCGCGTGAAGAGACGCATGGGCAGCGTGGGCTGGCGGCAGAAGTTGCTCTGCTCGTAGAAGATAAACACGACAATTCCATAGAACCCAAAGACCAGCGAGATAATGGTCGAGAATGACTTCCACGGCCAGAGTGTGCCGCCGTACGCCAGAGCGACCAGAATGAATGAGATGGCCAGGATGAATATGAGGTTGCCGCCATAGTCGATCTGCTTCAGACGGCGCTTGATGGAGGATTCCTCGCTGCGATGACCGACTTGCAGGAACACAAAGAGAAGTACCATGGAAATTCCTCCGACAGGTAGATTGAGATAGAAGACCCAGCGCCAGGTGGTTTGTTGAACTATCAGTCCTCCAACAATAGGTCCCAACGAGGTGCCAACAGAGACTGCCGCAAAGACAATGGCCATGAGACGACCACGTTCGCGCAAAGGCACCAAGTCACACACAATCAGATTCACCAGCAGTGTAATACCACCACCGCCGATACCCTGGATGACGCGACCGGCGATGAGGGCGTTCATGCTCGGTGCACCACCGCTGATCCCGCTGCCCAGCACGAACATGGCTACCGCGAAGATGATCAGCCATCGCCGACCGAAGATGTCAGCCATTTGCCCATACAGCGGTTGAAAGACGGTACTATATGCTATTAGTATTGTTGATTAGTGTGTATAGTTGCACAACTTACTTGGTAAGGAAATATCCAGTCGAAGCCCAGACATACGCTTCGCCCCCGCCCAGGTCCTCCACGATGGTCGGCAGCGCCGTTGAGATGACTGTTCCTTCCAACGCGACCAAAAGATTTGTCACACACAGTGCCACCATGATGGCCCATATTCGGGGTCCGTAATTGGTCTTGGTGGGTGGTTCCTCCTGCTCTTCGACCTTGAGTTGCTCGGTCGGTTCCGTCAGACCCAGGGCTTCGACTGAGTCTTCAATAATGGAGTGACGATAAATCCCACTCAGCCGCTTGGACCCAGCACCTGCTGCTCCGTAGCCCTGAGCTTCAATAGCATCG